GCCAAGACAAGATGGCTGCTGAGCAAATGCCCCAGAAAAGGAAGAGAAGGGCACATGTTGATATGTCCCTATTTTTGCACCACTTTATATTTAATAACTATGAAACAGCCTGGAGTGGGACCATCATGTGTGTTGGTGTGCCTGTTGCGAGTGTCTCCATGTGATAAGGCAATGAATTCTCTGACCTTGTTCAAGCCTCCTCATTTGAACTCTGATTTTCATTTTATTGTTGCCAGCTGTGGATCCTGCTATCCAAGGTCATCTGACCATGTAGGGCCAAACCTTGCATCCTCTGTGCATTCAGGTGACCCCTGTGAAGGTTATATATGGGTAGGACTTTTGAGCTGCTAAAATCAGCTGCTAACAGCATGCCCTTCCCCAGTCTCTCTGTGGGGACTCCTCCAGCGCATATGGTCATTCCCTTCTTGGACCCAGGAGAATCGAATACACAGAGTAGTGCTAGAAAAGAGGAAGAGTGAAGTTACTTGTCTAAGCAGATGGAGGTGAAGGGTCCTGGTCTCCCTCTTCCTTTGAGACGTCTCTGCCTGAGACCCTCCGAATTGCACCTTGGCTGCCCTCCACCTCTGCTGCTCCTGGTAGTGTCCTGCCTTTCGCTGACTCCTACTGACCATGTTTACTTTCCCCTCTGTCTCTGAATACCCACTCCTGGACCATGGCTGGGTCTCCTGCATGCTGTCCTAGTTAATAATAACAACTAAACCCTTTGTTCACCAGCCAGGTACTGCATGGCAAGTGTAAGCTTAGGTTTCCTTGCCTCTCCGTCAACAAAGATGCGAGTTGTCATGGTGTTGTAGGCACCTTTCCACCAAGAAATGAACCAAGACCACCCACTCGTTCCAGACAGGCTATTTAACAGCTGTCAGATGATAACAGCTTTCAGCTGCTGATGACCTGGGCCACATTCAAACCAATGACCTGGTAATTTAAATGCTCATGCATATTCATGTATGAGTAACAAAACAAATTGGAGTACAATTATCAGCGTGGTTGCATGAATATATTGTACTCTGCTCAGAAGTACTTAGTGCTGTGTTTGGGCTGACTAATGCAATGCAAATGTACAGGGAGCCAAGTTTTCCTTCCACTTATGTTTTGGTCCCTGCACTTCAAGTAAGATGCACATAAATGGATCGAGTGCAGAGGAGGGCAAGAAGAATAAGAAGCAGCTTAGACAACGTGACCTTTGAGGAAAGGTTGAAGGAACTGGGTTTGTTTAATCTTGAAAAGTTACATATAAAATTGTTCTGGAGGGAACAATGATCTATTGTTCTTTATGCCCACCGGGGAAGGACATAGAAGGGCTCGGCTAACTTTGCAGCAGAGATTTAATTGAATGTTAGAGAAAATGTTCCAAGCAGTGGGATCATGAGATGCTGGCTATCAAGAGAGATTGTGAAACCTCCTTCGTTGAAGGTTTGTAAGAAAAGGTTGGGGAAAAACCTCTCAGGGATGACGTAGGTATATCTGACCCTGTCCCAGTGAAGCGGATAGTCTAGATGAGCTCGGGAGGGCCTGTCCACTTCTACATTTCTGTGACTCTGTATTTTCTTTTTGTCTTTTATTTTTTTAAGATTTATGCTGTGTCTTCAAATAGATCACTAGATTCTGGATAGCTTTTTTTAGGATTCAGTGCACAAGTCATATAGGGATATTCTATAAATGCAAAGCAACTGAATGGGACACACCTGGTCTTCTGAAAATTTTCCATCCTGAGGAATGAACTGTAAGGATTTGTTTTTTTTCTTGTCATGTTATTTTTTCTTACTGACAGACCAGAGGACAGCAGTGAAATGTCTCTACACAACTTGTATACTTTGAGATTTTGCACTCCTGTTCAATCAATTGTTAATCCTGTTTGGTACAACTGATTGACCTTTTTGGTGGCTGGTTAAGCTATGTCACTATGTTCCTGCAGTCTCTAGGCTCTGAATTTATTGACTTGTGTGACTTAGCCATTAGAAGCCGATAGAAATCTGGCATTTTCCTGATTGCAGGACCATTAAAAGATTAAAGGATTAGTTCTACAAAAGGATTGGCAGGCGACCACCACTAAGCCATTCACCTCAACTGGATTTTCAACAAGTTGAAGGGTTTACATAGGCAGATCTCTTTGCAAAGTCAAGGCTTAAAGGTCTAGTCCTGAAGTTATGTAGAACTAATTTTACTCATATGACTACTCCCACATTGTTTAAGTACAGGGCTTGATTTCATTGGATGGACCTAGTTCTCATTTCCACCTTGCTCTCTTTATACTGCCATATTAGCGTTAAGTATAAGAATCAGTCTCTAATCGGACTTACCCTGTTGTGATGTTTTTTACTTTCACAAAATCAGGAAGATCCTATGGGTAACAGACTTTATCTAAATCTGAAGACACCTTCAATACCTCAGCAAGCACTGGTTGGACGGTGAACATCTCTCTCTGCCAGTAGGCACATGCAATCCGCATTTGTGCGTGTGTTTTTGTGTGGATAGGTGGTTTGTGGGAAGCAAATTCAGTGTTGCAGATCTATTTAGTTTGCTTTAATTGGAAATATTGTCATGAGAGCCACACACAGGGAATCCAACGCCCAGCAAGATGATGTACATCAGTTATGAAGTGACAAAGATGTGGCCCATGTTCAGAGTTTCTAGCTGTTGTTTGGTGTAATTAAGATAAAAAGAAGAGGAGTAAAGAAAAAAGCACAGCCATTTGCTAATCCTTCCCTTTTTTTGTTGCTTAAGGGAAATTTCAGAATAAAGTAGCAATTTCCATATCATTTGAATGGCAGTTGCAACCCCTTGATGTTAAAATGTACAACTACTATAATCAGCAAAATGTATGCAAATGTCTTGTCTGCCTTTAAATGTACTCCTAACTCCTTGGTTCTCTCAAAATATCTTGGAATTAGATTTAGAATAGAAAACATATGCAGAGTCTTAAGAAAGAAACTTCTTTGTTGTTTAGTAACACAGTCGATTTAAAAATGAGCCCTTCATGGTCACAAACGTCTGCTTGAAAAGCTATGGAAGAACAGGCCTCAGCATAAGCTGCAGATTTGCTTATTGGTTTTTAATGCCCTTTGAGACTGAAAAGGCCTTTTATGGTATGCCTGTAATCACCCAACCCAGCAATTCTTCAACTGGGCTCTGTGAGTGCTACTGCGATA